AGAGAGAGAGAGAGAGAGAGAGAGAGAGAGAGAGAGAGAGAGAGAGAGATGGGACATGGTTATGAACGTGTTTTGCCTGCCAGGGGTACCGGATGGCCGTTGATGGAATAGTGGTGTACAATGTACACACACACACACACACACACACAGAGAGAGAGAGAGAGAGAGAGAGAGAGAGAGAGAGAGAGATGGGACATGGTTGAGAACGTGCGTTGCTTGCCAGGGGTACCTGGATGGCCGTTGACGGAATAGTGGTGTACAATGTACCTGCCCATATCCTTTGACTGATTATGGCGCAGCATGTCCTGAAATATCGATTTAGATAGGGCAAGTCAGTGGTCACTGATCCACCTCTGTGAAGACGGTGACAGACTCAGACGCCGAGTGTTCGTTTGTTCGCACAGGAGAAAGCGCACACACCATCTGCAGGCAGCAGATCCCAAGCTCGAGTCCCGTCACCATCACCCAAAGGTATGCAGACACTTAAGGCTCTGACGTTTGCAATTCTATCGTCCTTCCCCGAATAGAACGTACAGTCATTATTGATGTAATTGGGGCAAATTTCAGTCTTCATGCAGCGATAATGACCGTGCGTTCTATTTGGCGGAAGCCGGTAGATCGTTGTACGGACCCGAACTCCGTTCAATCCCTGATGCAAATTGTGATGATGTTGTCCAAGTGCTGTCCTGGAGACTCCTGGCTTTTTCCAACACAAGGAATTTAAGGAAAATATCTCCTCCTCTGCACAGTAGGGAGAAAAGTGTTTGGAGGAGGGAGTGACTGGGAGCGTTGACATTCTGAGATAATGGTTATTAACTTATTGTGCTTATGTATTACAGAACAGTCATAGGTACTAAATGGAAGGAGGACTGAAAGTACCTTACCTTTTGCTCGCCTACCGTCTTCCCCGGGGGCTCCCCGGGGGAAGACGGTAGTGCAATCACCATTATGCAGGATGAGGTCGCACATGGGTATGTTTTTTTTGTTTGCTTGTTTGTTTGTTTGTTTGTTTGTTTGTTTGTTTTGCACATGGGTATGTTGACATTCTGAGATAGTGGTTATATGCTGCTGTGTTACATGGCAGCCATAGGCAACCAACCGTCAGGTCAGGTGGCCAATAAGACACTAACCCCACCCCCGCGTCCGGGGGGACGCGTGGATGAGCGCATACATAAATAAAATAAGCTGCTTGTTTTGTTGTGGCGGCTGCGTTGACTCTTTTGGGTGAGTTGCATTCTTAGCTCAGCTGGATAGAGCAACAACCTTCGTACGACATGGAAGAAAGCCCCTTCCCCGTTTGGTCGCCTACAGTCTTTCCCCGGAATAGAATGTACGGTCATCGTAGCTGCATTTGAGGCAGCTTTGTCGATACGGTCAAAATGACCGTACGGTTTATTCTTCGGGGGAAGACTGTAGCGCCATCGCTGTTATGCGGGAAGAGTTTGCGTGCGCATATATGATTGCTTGGTTTATCAGGAGGAGCATGGATTTTGAATCACCTAAGGTTTAAGTCAAGCGGTGAGGAGGAGGTTGTGACCACCGATAATTCGTATTTGATGGTTCGGCTGTTTGGTTCATTGCATTTGGACGTCGGAAAATGACGTTGGCAGCGTGGAATGTGCCCCCCGCTCGGTATTATAATGACTATCCAGCGGCCTAACTCAGTTGGTAAGGCTCGCAAGTGGCATTCAGGAGGTCTTGGGTTCAATCCCCATTGGCCTCATGTACCTTCCTGGGCATGCTTCGCGCCCGCCACCTAGAGATAGACCACTGGATCCCCCGATTGGCATTTAGCAGAGTCTGCTGATGTTCATAGGGGAGGGGACCTGAGGGGAGGCAGAGGGATTGGTCCTGTTGGCATGGTCCCTGATGCTACCGGCTGTCCCCTAGCCGGTATGGCCCACCTGCAGGTCGGGAGCAGTCCCCGCATGTTCTCTCGTGAACACGGTTCTGGCTGCTACGGGTTCCCCGTATGCCTACGATTAGTAGTGGTAGGTAGGTAGTGTGAGGTAAAATTGAGAGAAGAATATAGCTTTAAAATAATAATAATAATAATAATAATAATAATAATAATGACTATCCTACCAGAGGGACATGGGGAATTTCTGGTGGATTCAAAAAAAAAAAAAGAA